CATGCTCCATGCAGCAGAGGGGGAAAGCTACCTCAGCAAGTCTCTGCAGGCCAGAGCCACTTGTTCCTCTCGGGAAACTCAAAACTGCTCACTCCTGTGATTCCCTCTGGTTCTAGGCCAAGGTCCACTGAGGTGGAGCCAAATGCCTGAAAGTTACTTCTAGATAGGAAACCTTCGTCAGAGGCCTAGCTGCACAGATTTTCTCCCATCATGTGGGCTGTTCCTCCACTCACTACACAGTTTCCTTGGCTGTACAGAAGACTTTTATTTCCATGAGTTGTTGGTCTTATTCCATGAGCAGCCGCAGTTCTAGTTGGAAAGTCCTTGACTATGCCTATATCTTGATGTATTTTTTACTTACTTTTTTCTCTGACAGTTTCAGAGAGTCGGGTCGTCTCTGGCAGCCTTTGACTCATTTGGTTTGATATTTACGCATGGTGAGAGATACTTTCATTCTTCTACATGTCCTCTCTCAGTTATGGTTCCTGAAGCTGGCATGGCCACATAAAACCATGTATGTATTTATTAAATGAAATTGCCTAGGGGAATAAAAGGAACTAATGAGAGTGAGGAGGCAGGAAAGGGGGGTGCAGGGGAGGAATAGGGTGAGGGAATATACTCAACATATTATACATACAGGTAAGAAACTTTTTAAATAATAATGATGGGTTGTATTAAAGATCCTAAATGTAAGAGACGAATATCACAACCCACACACCTCCCCGTGGCTGAACAACTTCTGTCTTCCTCTCAAATCATCAGTGGCCTCTTTATGAATCCCCTTTCATTAATTAACCTGGCAAACTCAATTCTTCCCATCATTTCCAGTGATTTAGCATATTAAATTCTATAATAAATCTTCCACAAGATGTCATAAAATAACAGGATTATATAAGATAGGTATCTATGGTGTTGTGCTGCGTGCCTAATACAGTCGATTAAAGTCAGTCACATTCGTTGTGTAAAAGGGCAAGGCACAAAACTGAGCCATAGCCCTGCAGACAGTCAGGGACCTAAAACATGGATCCTTAAATTCCTATCTTCAGATGTCCTACTGAGTCACAGGAATGTGTTACATAGGATCATGTTCACACACTGAAGAGCAATACATTTTCATAGTTTTATAATCCAAATAAAACAAAGCTCACCTACATGTGGTTACATGGTGATTATTTGAAATTTTACTATAGTAAATGACAGGCTACTTCACCAATACACTTTCTAAAATGTGCTAATTGAAGACAACTTGAATTTTTAACTTAGTATTTAAAAATACTTTCTTCTTTTCTTATACTTTTGTGGGGGATTGGGAATTTTTGCTTGTTAAATAGTTTTCTTTCTAATTTTTAACTTTGATCTCTAAGCACATGCATACACATACAATTATACCATTGGAGCAGGCATAATATTTAATTAGTTATGTTTCACCGCCCCTTTTGAACCTCTCATAAAAAAATAAATATTCACCTGATGAGTTTCTAAAGCATATAATTACTCTATTTTCTTACTATCAATCCAAAAAAGTTAATAAACACAGTAACAATGAGGCTGGTGGTCTCTGGGTATAAGAATCAGAGTGGAGTGGTCTAATGGACTTGGAACTGTCTATGGATACATGACAGGCAGGATTTTAAAGTTCCACATCTTCATTGTCTCAAGGACACGTTCAACCTACTGCAGATTATTTAAAGTCAATCTCCTGCAGTTGCCAGCTAGATTGGCATTTCATTATACTTGAGTGTCATCTTCAGCTCCCTCCTACCTCTAGCAATTAGCCAAGAAAAATCCAGAGCCAGGGGAAAAGGTTTGTAGGAGCTCGCCAGCTCTTCAGTTCACCCTGGGACTGAGCAGACTCACCAGGGAACACACTAGAAAAGGCAAAGAAAACTCATGTGGGAGCATCTCCCACACCTGGCTCTTGAGGCAAAATTAATCTAACCTAAAACTTTGAGTTGACTCCTAGGAAATATTGTAACCCTGTCCAGGCTTTTTTATTGCTTGATATTAATGGATGGTAAAAATTTAAAAGGCCTTTAAACTATAAAAGGCAACTTTCAAGGCCTGGAAAATGTTGCGTAGTGTCTTTGGAGAATATAGGGACAGCAAGTACCATATCTCCTGAAATCTGCCTCCCAGGTAGAACAGTAAAGTCCCTCATCTTTGGACAATACGCTAGTTGTTATATAGAACCTGTCAGTATTGCTATCTGTCCCATTCCCAATGCGATCTGCCATAGAAAGTTAATATTGGGAAGGACCCCATGTGAACTGTGTAAAAGTTCAGGATTAAACCCAAGTCATCTCAAGTATTTTGGAGTTACATGAACTATATTTATTATTTTCAGTTTTATTATCAGTATTACTGTCATATTCATCGTCTCCACCATCATCATCACCGTAGTCACCATTATCATCACCACCACCATATCCACACTGCCAGTAGCAGCACCCCCACCATCATCATTCCCATACCACCTCATCTAATGTGGAGGTCACCATTAATACCTCCACAGTCAGCATCATCTTTCTACCGCCATCAGCATCTTCCAGCTTGTAGTGTCGTTTAAGTTGGCTTAACCTAACATCCAGGCTCTGTTTCTCTTCTTGGTCTTTCCATGGATGGCACAGGAATAAATCTAAGTTGGATCTCATCACTTATTAAATTGGCCACAGTGAAAAAGCTGTCTGGAGGCACTCAGAGGTTGATCTTCCCTAAGCTTTGAAACTTCTTTCATTCCAAGAGATATTCTTAGGACTCAGCTCTTAGGATCAGTGTGAAGTACCCTGGAAACAACTACTGTAATCTCTGCAGGAGAGCTGTCAACAACAGGCTATGCTCTGTCCAGTATGTCGATGTGAATCAATGAGGGTGAAACTACACCTATGTAGCCTTCAAGTCTTAAGACACTTTTTAAAATTTTTTAATAATTGCATATGCTACTGTGTGTAGAATTTGTACATGAAGCAGTAAGGCCTTTGTCTAATACCATATTATCTAAACTCAATGTATAGAATTTTTTAAGGAAAGAAAGAAAAGTAAACGTAGGAAGTTTCTCTTGTTCCTGCTGGTTTACCAGGTAACTGTGGGCTGTACATTGTAGCGTGTATGGGTGTCTATGTGTCGAGTAGGGTCTGGGAAGAAAGGAAAGCTCAGGGCAGACTTGTAAGAGACATATGGGGACCAGCCTCAGGAAGTTTGTCATTTGCAGGCAAAGAAAATACCTCCCTCATCTCGGCCCTTGGTAGTCAGTACTTAAGAAGAACTGACTGCTCCAAGTTATGTGTGTGTGTGTGTGTGTGTCCCCATTACTGCACAAAACAGTGGGTTTTCCACATCTATCTCACTTCAGTTCGCTCGTATCCACTCTCATCCTCCCTTCCCATTCACCCATCGTAACAGTCCCCTTCCCTCCAAATAAATCACCTCTTCTTCCTAACATATATATAAATCTGAGGAAATTCAACAATCCTGAGGGTTGTTCAACTTATAGCTGCTGGTTCCAGTCCTTCACTGTAGGGAAGTATGGAAAGGAACTTGAAGCAGCCGGTCACATTCACAATCAGAACAGAGAGATGATGAGTGTACGTATGCTTGCCTTTTAATTGGTGATAGAACCAGTCAATATTAATTATCATAATGATGACCTCCAGTTCCATCTACTTTCCTGAACAGTAAAGATTTCTTTCTTCCTCGTGGATGCAGAAACTTCCACGGTGTCTTTTCTCATTGTCTTCATTTGTTCCTGGGCCAGTGACTATCTGGGCTACCCCAGCCTCTTCGGACCTGCTGGCTTTCCTAACCCTCACAGCCTAGCAGCTAAGCGCCATCGACAGCCCTGTTTTAAGAGGAAGTAACCATGTCACAATGGTTTTAAGTAGCTTTCCCAGAGTCACACAGCAAGTTAGTGACACCGGGATGAAAATCCAGACCAGCGTGAGAGGCAAAACCCACCCAATACCTGCTTCTGGTGACCTGAGAACTAGGCACGGCTTTACAATTATCAGTGGCTGGGGAAAAAGTGGAGAGGCATTTCTAAACCAAGCCTCCTTGACTGCAAGCAATTATCCCTTCTGTATGACTGCCTGTAATTTGTAAACGTTTCTCTAGAGTGCACATGAGGCATATTGGTCTATGCCTTTCTTTCTCACAATTAACCCTCCAGGTTGTATCTATGCTCACCTTCAGCTGGGAAACATTCTTCTGGTTTTGTTATTTCTAGAAAAGTCTATGTAAAACTGGAATTGTGATAGTCTTAAATGTTTGGTTAAAGTTTATTTAAAACAAATCAGAAAATCTAAAAGGAAAAATACAATATCCTTGGGTATTCTTGGGGACTGTTCAGGACTTCCTGCAGAGGATGCTCTAATCCCTTATAAAATTGCTATGGTGTTTGCACATAACCTATACACATCTTCCCATAAGCTCTAAATCACTGCTGGGTTACTTATAATACCTAATACAATGTAGATATGATAAAAATGACTGCTGTACTATGTTGCTTAGGGAAAAATAGCAAGAAAAAAGACAGATACAATCTGAACCAAATGTTTTTGCACCTCAGTTGGTTGAATCCACAGCTACAGAACCTGTGGATAGGGTGATCTGACTGCAATTTACAACTTTCAAAAATTACACATTTCAATTTTGATGTCCAAAATTTAAGTATTAGATGCATTCTTTGACAAATCAGCCCTACGGTAGCTTTGTGCATCTAAGAATGGTAAATGTGTACCGTGTGGCCCCACAGAGTCTCTGAGGCATCTGCTCTCTGGTCTTCCCAGGGTAGTTGGCCAATCCCAGGCTGAAATCTGCATCCCAGATCTTAACCATTTCACTGTTGAAACGAGTAAATTCCACCCTGCCTTCACATCTAAGACTCGCCCCCTGTGCCCAGGCTGCTTGATTTTTGTCACACTCCCTCCCGCCACCCCCGCAAACAAGCCCTTGTGTCTCTGGACCAGTGTTCCTGCCACCTTTCACGGTCACTTCTTCTTTCCCAGTGAACAGCAGCAAACACATCGTCAGGAAGTTCCGAGGCCACCTGCGCACCAAGATTGAGTCTGGGGAAGGGACAGTCCCTGTCCGAGGTCCCAGTGCAGTCCAGACGTGGGATGGCATCCTGCTGGGGGAGCAGCTGGTCACCATGTCCTGCACAGACAAGATTGCCAGGTAAGTGCCCCTTAAGCTGTTCCGTTTTAAAAACCAGTTATGGACCTCAATGAGGACAGCAAAGAGAGGACCCAAGCAGGTCTCAGTATTGAACCCACTCCGAGAAACCTGGTGCTTGTCATCAAGGACTCAGGCATGCGTGTTCACATGTATATGCATGCTGTGTAAGCGCACACATACGGGGGCATTGGAAAACCAGAAGTCAGTGCTCAGTGCTTTTCTCAGTCATTCTCCACCTTATATTTTGAGGAGGAGTCTGTCGCTGAACCTGGAATTCACCCTTGGGCTAACTGACCAGTGAGTCCCAGGAATTTGCCTATCTCTGACTCCGCAGCACGGGGTTTACAAGCACACGCCACCCCAACAAGCCTTTTATGTGGGTTCTAAGGTGTCAAACTCAGACCCTTCCATGTGGGCAGCAAGAAATTTACCAATTAAGCCGTTGCCCGAGTCCCTACCCTTCCATATTTTTTTCTTTTAGATGTAGTAGCTTTTTAATTTTATTTTATTTTATTTTATTACTTTTTAAAAAATACCAATCCAAATTCCCACTGCTTAGCGTCTTAGCTGGGGTCATCCTTGTGGATTTCCGGGAAGTTTTCTAGAGCCAGGCTTCTTGCTAACCCCAAAATATCTCTCTCAATCAAGATATCTCTTTCCTTGCTCTCATCTCTGTCCTTCCTCCATCTCAACTATCCCATTCCCTCAAGTTCTCCCCAACCCTCCCCCTCTCCCCTCCTCTTCCCCTTCTCCCCTTCCTTCTACCCCCACCCCCATGCTCCCAAATTTTGTCAATAATAAGGTAAATCCAAAGAAAAGCATATGCAGATCCACCTGGAAATTGGACAGACAAGATCCCCTTCCATATTTTTCGTTCCACCGGCTTGAGGGAAAAGCACCTTTCAAACGCACATTCCTAGTAATATCAGGTGACCACAGCAAGGTCAAAAATCTCTGACTCAAGGATTAATTTTTCTTCTGTTGCAATAATAATTATTTTTATGAGGAAGAAAAAAAACGGACTTAGATCTGCCATCTCTGGATGCTGTGATCACTGTCAGGGAATGTGACCGAGTGTGGAACAAAAAGAGTTTTTCTCTGCCGCACCTTTTTACTTTGCACTAAAGGTGTTCCCAAAGCCTCCACAGGCGACTTCTCAGAGAGAGGCAGCCTCAGCATACAGGTACACAGAAGGAATTTGCAGGAAGGGCATCTCAGCATCCTTCACAGTCTCCTGCTAATTGAGAAAGGCCTGTGCTAGGAGTGTGTCCCACTCCGCTTAGCCTCATCGTGATGCCCAAGATCCACCCATTGCAGGAGCCCACCTCGATTCCGATGCCCACCTCAATTCCAATGCCCAAAGATGCCACCCATTGCAGGAGAAGTTCCATAAAACATGTTCAGAAAATACTTACAAATTGTGCATTGAGATGAGGGATCCTAGCAGCTTGAACCTGCCCGAAAAAATTGTAAAGCCCCAAGCTACCGCAACCATGGCATAGGAAGGTTAGAAAGGAGAATGGGAGTGGTAAAGGAGACGGCTTGGTGGGCAAGCACTCTTGCTGCAAAATTGTGAGTACTGAAGTTCTGATTCTAGTGTCCACAAAAAAGCTAGGAGTCCTGCGAAGGCCTGCACCTCCAACTCCAAAGGATCTTATGTTTTCTTCTGACTTCTACGGAAGCACAGACGTGTGTAACCATACATACACAAATACACACACATACATACACACACAAACACATACACACACGACTCAACCATGTAAACAAACAAACAAATAAATCTTTAAAACTGAGTGAATCAGAAGCTCTTTTGGAAGCCATAATAAATATACTGATACATAGTTTATAACCTAAGTGGAAGGGGGCAGGGAACTGAGCATCCTAGGCTACGGTAGTCTCTAAGCTAGTATGCACCCAAAAATTCCAACAGTTTTGCTGCCCCTAAAATGTCCTACATGGATGCATTTGCAGCTGTACCTAGTTCAGAAATGAGAATCTTAGTCTTGAAAGGGACGAATGGAGAGGGGAATGGAAAGGTTACAGGGAAAATAAAGACCAAGGAACCAAGGAAAGCGGAGTATATCATCTAAAATAGCAAGTGTCTTACACACAAAGCCCTGCCACCAAAATAAGATCTAGAGTCTAAGACAAACTGCCCCCCCCACAATACCAAGGGATCCCCCAGTAAATTAAAGTCCCAGGAGGCACAAGCTGTGTTCCCAGTGCCTGTATAAGACTTGAGGTGTCTTATATGCTCAGCAAAGGTACATGAACCAACTAAGCTCTGTTAAGTTCTGTACCCTGAAGGATTCTCTTGAGCATCTTCACTCTGTCAAAGCCAGGGGTGCTGAGGGTTACGTTCTGCTTGCATTTCAAGATGGGGACATCAGTGTATGGAAGCACAAAGTGTCACCCCAAAGTCCCGAAGTCAGCATCCCAGGTCTCCTTCTTGACCCTATCCTGTGAGGATTCTGGGGCTACAGGGCCAGGAAAACATGAGCCTCTATCAAGAGTGATTCCAAATTCTCATGGGAAATTACCAAGTAGCTATAGAAAAAAGAGCACCATTTAGGCCCTGGCTTTGATTGCCCCTGGCTTGGCAGAACAAGGAGAGGGCTAAATGACCGTAAATCAAAGCTCTGATTTCTGTATTACAGGGAACAACCTATAGTCTTCAAACAGCTCATCTTTGAAAAGAAAATATATTCCTCTTTACAATATTTTCATCTCTTCTTGGAGTGAAAGGGAGGAAAATGCAGCAATTTTCACTTTAACAAAAATTCTTCTGATACCCTCAGACAATGTTAGTTTTCTAAGTTAATTCTATGGCTCTCCAGCAAAATGAAGAAAATTAATGCAACAGAAATGAAATCTTGTCTCTGGGATCTTAAACATCAATAGACGCTAAATTAAACAGGGGCTACAAAACCCACCTTATATTGGTTGTCAGAAGTCTATCGATGGTAATGCTCAAAAGACAGGCTTTATCTTTTTAATAAAATCCCCTTGGAAAAATAAGCAGAAGTTCATGTTACATCATCTCCAGGGATAATCAAATGATGTCCTGGATAGAAAAATATTCTAGACTGTTTCTCTTTGTAGTTTTGTTGGAAATGTTGTTGTTGTTGTGGTGGTGGTGGTGGTGGTGGTGCTGGTGCTGGTGGTAAATTATGATTTTTTGTTTGCTTATTTGGCTTGGCATGGATTTTAGGTTTTTTTTGAGACGGAGCTTCTTTGTCAACCCTGGTGTCTCTGAAACCCTGACTGGTCTTGAATTCAGGGACTCACCTGCCTTGGCATCCTGGGAGCTGGGATTAAAGGTGTGCACCACCACAGCTTTCTCTCGGTGGTTTTGAAATAGGACCACACCATGTAGCACAAGCTGAGCCGGAACTCACTGTGAAACTCAAACTGGCATCGCTTGCAGTGATCCTCCTGTCTCAGCCTCCTGGGTGCATGTGTGACCACACCTCGCTTCTAGCCTTTTATTTTTAAGAAGGCAAAACTTAAAATGCTTGGGGGAAACGGTAATGTCTCTGCTCCAGCTGGCCACAGAGAGACCACGCCCTGAACTAGCTCAGGAACTAATTCCCTGGCACCAGGTGGGTTCACACCATCCACCCACTTAACTCCTCTTTGCCAGATGTGGTGACGGTAGGAGGAGACAGGACAGAACAGAGGGGTATGATGGAGGCCAGGACTTAGAGATGCCCTCAGATCTTGCTGTGTCCCCCTCAAGGCCACCTCCCAGTTTCCTTCTTCTGAGCTTCACTTCCTCTTCTACCTTCCTTACTTTCTCTTGTTCTCTCAGTCTCTTCTCGTCTTCTGTCTTTCTTGTTGTCTCTGTCCCTTGTCTATCTATCCCTGTATCTTCCTGTCTAGCCCCCCTCTCTGTTTCTTCCTCCGTCTTTCTATTTCTCTGTCTCCATGTCTCTCTCCCTTTATCTCAGGATCTTCCTGCCTTTCTCCTATTCTTGCCCTCCATCCCTCCATCCTTTCCTCCCTCCTCCTTCCTCCTTCCATCTCATTACTGCTCCACACACACTCCTCCGCCAAAGAGCTCTGAGCTCACACTAACTGTTCAGTTCTGTCTCCTCTCAACACCTAGTGTGCTATCACTTCCCTGTCCTGCAGGGAATGCTGGGAAGCTGCAGCCCTGCCCTCTTCCATTCCATGCCATCACATACCCTGTTCTCCTGCCATCACATACCCTGTTCTCCGGCCATCACATACCCTGTTCTCCTGCCCTGAAATGACAGGGAAGTGGTACCTAATGCTGTTTGCTTGTGTCTGAGCTTGACCTTCATGGGATCATTGATGCCACTTGATTTGCACGGTGTCTGTCACAGTGAGATGCACATGACGGCTCTTGATAAACAGTGCTTATTGGTAATGATGATGAGGACAGAGTCATGACGACCACAACAGTGACAGAGATAATACACTCGCTCTAAACAGTCCTGTCTGGATCAGACTGGGAGCAATTGGCAGACGAATCACTTCCTTTGGCATGGAAGTCCTTGTACCTCCTCCACAGCCAGACCCTGAGCATAACATGCGAACATGAGTGCTCATACATGAGCTATTTTAGAGCAGAGGCACATTTGCCATTTTTGAGCAGGAACATATGTTATGATAATGGTTCAAGATCATAAGCATCTGCAGTGCGCATTATTTGTACGAAAGCTCCACAAAGAGACAGACTGATAACGGATGCGTTCATCTGTTTTCTAACCTGTACAAAAACAAAATCTCAACCTAGGGCTTAAACACTGCTCAAAGCAGAGGGCCTCCACACACAAGTGCAGACGCAACTTTCTAACTAAATGAATTACTAAACCTCTGGAAAGTGAGGTTCTGCACACGCAAAAACACAGGAAACATAGTCTGTAAAATACTGTGAGGACACACTGGGCTGCACAGCCTGCAACACATGGTATACTGTGCCCAGTATCACATCACGTTGGAACCATCTGGACTCGGGAATTTATTATTAA